GCCCTACTTATATTTTACAAACTTTGAAGGACCTGAAATTCTTTGGACACCATCAGATTTAGTTTATAATAGTTACGATTTTGAATTAAGAAATTATTCATGTAGTTTTAAAACACAATAGGATTTTCAGTCAGGCTGAACTTTTGTGCACTTCCTCATTTATTCGAGAAACCCCACCATTAATGTATTTAGACCTTAACATGATGGCTTTGAGTCTTAAATCATTGTCCACCTAAAATAATATACCAAATAAAGATTTTAAAAGTGCTGCATATGGTTTCTGTAAGAGGTATATAAGTTAATTAGATTACCAGAATTACCCTTTAGCTTCAAAAGTAAAACTCATGGTCAGGATTTTACTGATAGTATAGGAAGAAAAAAAAACCACTGCTGAAAAATAAATGAAAAAATTTTTATTGAGTATTACTTTATACAGACAAATTAAAAGTGAATCTATATTAAGCTGACTATTCCACATTAAAAACCTATGCAATGGGAATAATCAAAGCTGTCTACACAATACTAATGTGTTCAATAAATTATCCAGATGTTTTTCTGCAAATATTTGGATTACCTGATTAGCTGATTCTTCAACAAAAGTTAAATTTTAGCTTTAATATGGTAGCAGCAGAATGCTACTTAAATTTAGAAGAAAAACATAAGAATAAAAACCCTGAATAGCATAGCCAAATCTTCCAAGAAATAAGTTCACCAGAAAAGTAACATACACCTATTTGGTATCCAGAGGAGGAAACAAAACAAAACACAGGCACTTAATCAACATTCACCAAATGATCATCACTAACATTCTATTATTACCAGAGCAACTGTCAATATGTGAACTGTAGATCAGAACAGACTTACATATCTAAAAACAAACCAGTAATCAATAATATATACAGAAATACTAACTTGAAGTCACATTTAAATACCATCAAGTTTGGTGTTATCTGATACAGACTGAATTCATTTCATCACTGCTATAAATTCCTTAAAAGTGTTCTTTTCCTAATGTAACATTATCTTTAAAAAATGGCAAGATATTTCCCAATATGCATCAGTTCTTTCACTCCACCATTCAGTAAATGTTGCAGCACATTAAACAGAATCTGTTAACTAGATCTAAAAACAATGGCTGCATAATTAACACAAAGAAGTACTTTTGAGTAAACTATTCAGATTAGACAGGCTAATGCTAACTAAGACTGCATTTTCTGCTACTGACATGTACTATATAGATCATACACTAAGATGGAAGGTTGGTCCATGTCCATTTATTTAAAGATTCTGTAACACCTATAATAGTATTTAATACAGCTCCCACAAACAATATTCCTCTCACATAGATGTAGTTATTTTTAGTGGGGATAAGGATATGACACATGCTACGAGATTCTAGCTAAGAAAATAAAAACAATATGGGCTCAGGTTTTCTTAGCAAGTTTTTGAACTGGGAAACAACCAACTTCCATATATCCAGGAGAAACTTAGCATGGGGCAAGGTGCCTTAGTTGATGTGCCTGATAAGCAAACTGTTAGTTGTCTCTTAGTATTATGTTTTCAGCTTAATGTAACAACAAAAGAAAGGTGTCACACTACTTCTCAGATAGTAACAATTGCAATCTTAGATTGTAATTGGGATTACAATTACAATCCCATGGGATATCCTTTATTAATGACAGCACAGTTCCAATGCAAAAGTCAAGCTTTATGGTTACATATCAGGATAGGTTCAGACCCAATTATGACCATGTTTAGCACTAACTTTTAACATGTTAAAGTTCTGATTCCTGAATGTTTTTCTCACTTAATATATTCCCTCCAATGACAAGTTGTTGTGTTTGGCTTCTTATGCTGAAAATATATGCCTGAATCCTATAACAAGTTATTAACAGTATCATGAATAGTTATTAAATAAATGCCAGCACTGCATGGAACTTACTGTCACCAACTCAGAACCATAAAACTACACACATATGCACAAAAAAAAAATCCCAAAGAGACCTATCATTGTACATATGAATACTGTCCAGGGTATCAGATCAATTATCAAATCCAAGGTCTCTGCTGTTTTGTCTTACGGTGTTGAATATATGAATGCTTCTCTATTACACTGACTTTTTTTGTATTATTTTCAAGAAATTATTAACTGGATTCAAAATCTTACACTTTTATTTCTAATTATAAAATCCAGATTAATCCAGAAAACACAAACCACATGTAACCGAGGTAGGTTTTTCACCTTAAGAATACATTGATTCTACCACAATTTAAAATTTTAAACACTGAAGAAAAAAAAAAAGACTACATTGCTCCACATACCTGCCTCTGGTACTTAATTTTCTGCATTTGAAACTACTTGAACAAGTGTGACAGTGCTAATCTACTATATTTAGTAAATCCCTTAGTACCTACAAATACACACCCAAAAGCCCTTTCCCCCTTCTCTAATGGTAACTGTTGTATAATAAAATTGCCAACAACTCTAGAAAGATGAAATAAAGATTACTGTAGCAATCTTCAATTAATTCATTTCAGAAATCAAGGAAGCAAGTCATGTTCATTTTAAGTGTGACAAACTTACTATTTTGAAAATGAGCTCATAAACACATTAGAACTTTGAATGTGCTTTATTATGCCACAAATTCCCAGATTTAAGAAATAGTATTTCTGAACAGGAATAATAATTTCACAAATACTATCACTTTATTGACAATAGACAAGTCTTTTAGGGTAGTGCACATGTACTTAACATCTACCTTCTAACAATCTCAACACTTCTTATAAATTTTCAGGGGAAACTGCAGCAGATCCTACTTTATTTTTCAATGGTTAGTGTAAAACTCTGTATGTAAAATAAATACGTATTTTAAGGAGATGGGAGAAGGACTGCATGTGAAATGCTTTGCCTAAGTTGTAAGGCTCCTGTCTTTACACTATCATTATGTTAACAAGGCCAAAATAAATCATTGCTAGAAATGTTCCCCCCAAAATTCTTAAACAGCCCAGTCTTTAAAAGTATTTAATAATTTTTTTTTTCTTTTGTGAGACAGAATTTCACTCTTGTTGCCCAGGCTGGAGTGCAATGGTGCAATCTCAGCTCATCAAAACCTCCGCCTCCTGGGTTTTCAAGCGATTCTCCTGCCACAGCCTCCTAAGTGGCCGGGACTACAGGCATGCGCCACCACGCCCGGCTAATTTTGTATTTTTAGTAGAGTCAGGGTTTCTCCATGTTGGTCAAGCTGGTCTCGAACTCCCAACCTCTGGTGATCCGCCCACCTCGGCCTCCCAAAGTGCTGGGATTACAGGCGTGAGCCATTGCGCCCAGCCTAATTGATATAATTTTTTAAAGTGAAATTAAGTGTTCCTTTATTTACATATGAATTAAATGGAAAATACAAAGTAATTTTTTTAATAAAACCCCACATACTAATATATTTTAAGGTTGGATACTAACAGCATTTTCACAAGATCCAAAGTGTGGATGAGGAACTAGGAAATAAGGACATGTGTGGCACATAACTAAGGGTAACTAAAGAAAGGTGAGTACCTCACAACCAAAAGCAGCTAACTATGCCTGGCATACCACCCTGTCATGTGGGCAGCAGATCACTGTTCCCATGCTGGGAAAGAGTCTCCAAGAAGGGAAGCCCTTATGCAGTAATTCTGCAACTATATTAAATTTGGTAATCTAACATTAAACTTTTTCGTGAGCAGTGAATACACACATGGTCATATAAAAACCGCCCTGGAGACCAGGTTAATTATTAAATAAAAGGGGAGAAATGCTGGTAGATAAAATTATGTCAATTCCAGGGTTTTCAATGGAATAAAGAAACAGCAGCAGCTGCTTCAAAACTAGGCTATGATCAGAAACCTCAGATGATAACCTTTAAAAATTCTGGAGCCCAGAGTCTAAAGCTAAACCTACATAGGCGCTACAGCCAGGGAGTTCTTTCTTTAAGTTCCTCAAGTGAGTCTGATGATCGGCCAAGCTCAAAACTTCTAAATTGGGGAAGGGAGAAAGCCAACCCTAGGTAAATGTAGAGACTTTTAGAATTCAACATTTGGGCCAGGCGCGGTGGCTCACGCCTGTGATCCCAGCACTTGGGGAGGCCAAGGCGGGCGGATCACAAGGTCAGGAGATCAAGATCATCCTGGCTAACACGGTAAAACCCCGTCTCTACTAAAAATAGAGAAATTAGCCGGGCGTGATGACGGGTGCCTGTAGTCGCAGTGACTCGGGAGGCTGAGGCAGGAGAATGGCATGAACCCAGGAGGCGGAGCTTGCAGTTAGCCAAGATCACGCCACTATACTCCAGCCTGGGCAACAGAATGAGACTCCGTCTCCAAAAAAAAAAAAAAATTCAACATTTGATACTTATCATTTACTCCACATTTTCCCCCAGCTGTCTCACCTTCTCTATTTTTCTAACAGTGAATAATAAAAGGGCTTGGCAAGTGAAGGAAAAAGTCAGTAGAGTACCCAAAATGGATTTGACTATATTCAAACCACTTTCACATATTAACTAGATAAAAGGATATCATACTGCTATTTGAAATTCAATCATCGAGCAAAAATGTCATAATGTCAATGTATTTTAAGGGAAGGGGGGGTTCTTAACATGAAAATGTAATACAAAAACAATTCTAATAATAATATTTAATACAAGAGAAAATTTGTATAATTCCTTAGAAGTAATTCTGTTTTTAAAATTTCAATGCTAGGAAGAAAATTCCTTAAAATTGAAATAGGGGAATATTCTCTCATATGAAAAAACTATTTTAGTACTATTTCTGCTTACATATTGTTTTGTATAAATGTTTTAAGTATGAATAACATTTTGGTTTTTATTTTAGTGTGCATGCTAATATAATAAAAATATGGATTTTTTTCTCCTACACTGACTTTGTACACTTTCCAGGCCTGAAGAACAAACAACTTTTAAAATATCCTATGTTCACTTGCAAACCTTAGAACAATAAAAAAAAAGTAGTACCTACATAAGAAATTTTACATTAAAATTAAAATTGTATGTTTTTCAGGAGTTAAAGTGATTCAATTTTTCAATATTCAAACACAAAATAGTAAATTTTTTTATTATAGCACAATTCAAGTATTCTCTTAAATTTATATTTAATCGACTAGAACATGACAGTGACTTTGTAAGAGGTTTCCTTTTAAAAGGATACTGTTACACAAAAGTATGACTCTATTACTCTAAATGCTTAGAATAAGTGGAAAGAAATGACAGTAGACAAAAACCTTTATGAGTGAGTCATCAACACATAAAAGGTTGCACACATCAGTAATAAGGCATGTGTAGGTAATATCCCAAAAGTATTTAAACTCATGTAAACAAAGACTATGTATATTCCTAAGGGAGAAAAGGTACTACCAAAGATGAAATATATTCAAATGGTTGTGACTTTAAACCATGTATTAGTTGAATACCACACAAAACCAAAAAGGTATTACCTATCATTTAATAACTGAAAGATATTACTTATTTGTGAGATAAAAGGTTGATGCTTTTTTTAAAACCAATAATGAAAAAGAAATATTTTGAAAACAAACATCCATTTTCTAGAAATAAATATACATGCTTAGTTATTTTAATGTATTGCAGCATAGGAATATTGTGCTAGCATTGACCATAACATTCAATCAGTAGTTTAAAATATTTTTTCCTCATTGAGTCTTGAATCTTCTACCTGGTCAGCTGACCAACAACTTTCAAAAGAGTTTTATTTTCCTGCTTTAGCTGTTCATTTTCATCTTCTATGTCATCTAGGTCCTTAAGAAAAAAAAAAAAAGATACTTTAAAAATACTTCAAAATATTTGATGAGAGATGAAAACACTTAATATACATTCAAAAATAATTCATACAACCAATTAATTTTGAAATGAGGGTAAGCTCTGAAAACAACTTTAGATGTAATATGTCCCACCAAAAATGAGCATCCATTACTTAAATCTTCATTCTTATAACAAGTCTATAGGCCAACTCTTAAAGATCTTTCAGTTTTTCTAAGGAAGCCAGAAGTCAGAACTTTAAAATTGTGAATCTTCCAATTTTCAATCATCATAAATAAGTTAGTGTTTTAGCTAAACTCCACTTCCCTTCCCTAAAACTGAGGCAGAAAAAAAAAAACTATCCATGCAAGCCATATGTGGTATTGAGCCCTAGGTTGCAACCTTGTATCAAATTAGGCATCAAAAGGTGCAGGTACAAGTTCTAGATGCACTTCTATCACTTTGTCTGATCTTTAAAGGTGTACAATGGGGATAACACTCTGGGGAGGCGACAAAACTGAGGCCTACAAAAAAGGGGATCTGGAGTATAGAGAGTTGATCTGGATCAATTTATATGTTGGACTTTTCTACGACATTTTGAAGCAAAGGTTTTAGCACTAAAAATAATTCAAAGCCACTAAATTAAGTATTCGCTCTCCAGCTTTAAAAGCATATGATCCACCTCTTTTTTCCCTATACTAATCCTTGTCCCAAATACACAACCATCTGGTTAAAAAAAATTCACCATAAGTTTTAGTTACAAGAAATGTTATTTCAAGACAGACCCTTTACTGTTAAAAAAGCAGACATTTTTAGATTTATTCTTGCAGTTTAAAGTTTGATGTAATCAATTTGAATCATTGCTATATAGTATAAAAGTTTTCTAATACATTTAATATATTGCCTTTGGATAATTAGGTAAATTATTTTAAAATTTACAAGATCAGAATTTGCATTTATTTACAAACTAAATGAATAATGTTGGGAAACATTTGTTTAAACAATAAAAAATATGGGATTTCTAAAATTACCACAGTTGAAATCTACCTAAAATTTAGAATTAAATGATAAAACATATTCATGTACCATTATTAGATTATAAACTCTATGAAGGCAGGGGTTTTATTATTCTTAAGGCCCACAGTGCCTAAGACAGTTCAAACCCATTAAAGGCATCAAAAATATTTGTAGAAACAGGTTGGGTGTGGTGGCTCACACCTGTAATCCCAGCACTTTGGGAGGCTGAGGCAGGCGGATCTCTTGAGGTCAGGAGTTCAAGACCAGCCTGGCCAACATGCTGAAACCCCGTCTCTACTAAAAATACAAAAAAATTAGCTGGGTGTGGTGGCACGTGCCTGTAATCCCACCTACTTGGGAGGCTGAGGCAGAAGAATCACCTGAACCCAGGAGGCGGAGGTTGCAGTGAGCCAAGATTGCACCACTGCACTCCGGCCTGAGCAACAGAATAATGTAATCAAAAAAAAAAAAAAAAAAACACTTTTCCTGTCTGCTTATACACCCCAAAGAAAATAAATCCTTCTATCAAAAAGACATATGCATGTGTATGTTCACTGCTGTGCCATTCACAACATCAAAGACATGGAATCAACCCAAGTGTGGTACATATATGTCATGGCATACTATAAAGCAAAAATAATAATAATAAATATTTGCGGAAACAGATAACCTACAGAATCAGAGAAGATACTCACAAACTATGCATCCGACAAAGGTCTAATATCCAGAATCAACAAGGAACTTAAATCAACAAGCAAAACACTATACAATCCCATTAAAAAGGGGCAAAGGACATAACAGACACTTCTTAAAAGAAGACATATGGCAGGGTGTATGTAATCCCTCACACCTGTAATCCCAGCACTTTGGGAGGCTGAGTCGAGCAGATCACTTGAGGTCAGACCAGTCAGGCCAACACATGGTGAAACCCCATCTCCACTAAAAATACAAAAATTAGATGGCCGTGGTGGCACATGCTTGTAATCCCAGCTACTTGGGAGGCTAAGGCAGGAGGATCGCTTGAACTCAGGAGGCAGAGGTTGCAGTGAGCTGAGATTACTCCACTGCACTCCAGCCTGGGTGATAGAGGAAGACTCTGTCTCAAAAAACAAAAACAAAACAAAAACACAAAACAAAAAGAAGACATACAAGCGGCCAAGAAACATGAAAAAATACTCAGTATCACTAACCAGAGAAATGCAAGTCAAAATCACGAGATACCAACTCACAGCAGTTGTGACGGTTAATATGAAGTGTCAACTTGATTAGCCAGTCAAAAATTGCTGTTAGTAAAAAGTTAAAAGACAACAGATGCTGGTGAGGCTGCAGAGAAAAGAGAATGCTTATACACCGTGGTGGGAATATAAATTAGTCCAGCCACCGTAACAAGCAGTTTGGAGATTTTTCAAAGAACTTAAAACAGAACTATCACTAGACCCATCAATCCCATTACTGTCTATATACCAAAAGAAAATGAATCTTTCTATCAAAAAGACATATGAATGTGTATGTTCACTGCTGCACCATTCACAATATCAAAGATATGTAATCAACCCAAGTGTCCATCAATGGTAGATTAAATGAAGAAAATGTGGTACATATATGTCATGGCATAGTATAAAGCCACAAAAAATAATGAAATCATGTCCTCTGCAGCAACATGGATAGAGGTGGAGGCCAGAATCCTAAGCAAATTAACTCAAAAACAGGAAACCAAACACTGCATGTTCTCACTTGTAAGCGGGAGCTTACAAGTGAGAGCTTACACTAAGCACACATGGATACAAATATGGGAACAACAGACACTGTGGACTACTAAAGGGCAGAGGAAGGTGGCATAGGTTAAAAAAAGTTACCTGTCAGGTATTATGCTCACTACCAGGGTGATGGGATCTGTATTCCAAACCTCATAATCACACAATACTCCCATGTTAACAAATCTGCACATGTACCCCCCGTATCTAAAATACAAAGTAAATATTTTTTTTTAATTTAACATTTTTAAATTTTTTTAATTTAGAATTTCTTAGATCAAATTCTAACACCAATATAGGAGTACTTGTATTTTGAGATGGGAGTCTCGCATTTTTGTCCAGGCTGGAGTGCAGTGGTGTGTCTTGGTTCACTGCAAGCTCTGCCTCTCGGGTTCACGCCATTCTTCTGCCTCAGCCTCCCGAGTAGCTGGGACTAGAGGCGCCCATCACCACGCCCGGCTAATTTTCTGTATTTTCAGTGGAGACGGGATTTCACCGTGTTAGCCAGGATGCTCTTGATCTCCTGACCTTGTGATCCGCCCACCTCAGCCTTCCAAAGTGCTGTGATTACAGGCGTGAGCCACCACGCCCAGCCATAGGAGTACTTGTATTGGAACCAAAGATGAAAAGCAGTCCACAAAAAGTAGAAAGACTTAAAATACCTGAAGTCAAATACTGGCTCAGCTGATTACTCTATATGACTTTGAGCAAGTTAAATTCTGAGTTCCACTGTCCTCATATACAACCTATAGTTAATGCCTCAGAGCTTTATTAGAACAAGTCGGCATATGATGAAGCCTCTCTCTTTTTTCTCCTTTCATGGTTGGAGTTGAGACTGGATAGTGGATTTGCTACAGTTTTCCCGGAAGCAGACTTATTCTTTCCTCAATCTTAGCCAAAAGCCTTCTAAAAGGCAAAATTATGGAGTCTCTTCTCATCACTGTTACCTAATAAGCAATTACAACTGCTTCTAGCAAATAAATTCTGGGGCTGAAAACAAAAAGCAGAGTTAGCTACAAAGAATATAGGGCTAAGGCTAAACCTAAAGTTGGGGATGCATTAAGTACAACTGGAGAAAAAAAGTGAAGATACACAGACATCTGGAATTTCTTATAGTGATAAAGTACCAATTTCAGGGCCAGGCACAGTGGTTCACGCCTGTAATCCCAACACTTTGGGAGGCCGAAGAAGGCAGATCACTTGAGGTCAGGAGTTCGAGATCAGCCTGGCCAACATGGTGAAACCCCATCTCTCCTAAAAATACAATAATTGGCCAGGAGTGGTGGCACGTGCCTGTAGTCCCAGCTACTCGGGAGGCTGAAGCAGGAGAATCACTTGAACCTGGGAGGTGGGGGCTACAGTGAGCTGAGATCGCACCACTGAACTCCAGCCTGGGCAACAGAGAGAGACTCCATCTCAAAATAAATAAATAAATAATTAACAATAACAATAATAATAATAATAAAGAGTACCAATTTTACTTTTTCTTTTTGTGGGGGGGGGACAGAGTCTTACTCTTGTTACCCAGGCTGGAGTGCGGTGGCACAATCTTGGCTCACGGCAACCTCCGCCTCCCGAGATCAAGCGATACTCCTGCCTCAACCTTCTGAGTAGTTGAGATTACAGGTACCCACCACCATGCCCAGCTAATTTTTCACATTTTTAGTAGAGTTGGGGTTTCACCATGTTGACCAGGCTGGTCTCCAACTCCTGGCCTCAGGAGATCTGCCCTCCTCGGCCTCCCAAAGTGCTGAGATTACAGGTGTGAGCCACCGCGCCTGGCCTATTTTAGTTATTTCTTGAGGCAACTCTCTGCCAGTGCTCTTATGTATGGTGGTGACAAAGCGCCTGTCACCTCCAGACTTTAACAAAACACAGAACAAATCCATAAATCAGTCTACCTCCGAAAGAATAAAATTAAGTGAGCTAAACTGGTAACTGCCCAAAGGAAATCAGTTTTTGGAAGAAAATGATACTTCTTACTAATTATTATTTCACTAACAAAAGAACAAAGTGAATAATGCAATTAATAATTTCTTCATATTTATATACTTTCATCGAATTGAAAAAAAAAACCCCTCTAAACCTGAAATATGGTGAAATACTTACTCTATTTAATAAATCAATTTCTTCTTTGAGTTTTCCAATCATTTCCTCTTTATCTTGCATCAGTCTCACAAGTCTTAGGTTTTCTTGTCTTTCTCGTACTACTTCCTGGTAGACACAATTTAAAAAACAGTAATTAGGAAGTAATTGGTTATTTGTAATATTCCTAAATGGCATATATCTGCCAAGTTTGGTAAAATATCTTACATACATGAAGATTTCCAATGAATTCCTTAAAATATTTGGTGAAGGAACAAAGATCCCACCACAAAAGGAGAATGAGGGGAATATAGGAGCTGTTAGGATGCTCCTGAGTAAAGCTATGTTTATACAAGTCTTTAACAAAACTAATGTAATAGACTCAATGATTTAACTTCATGTGAGTGTGTATGTATGTGTGACAGTGTTTCGCTCTTGTCACCTAGACTGGAGTGCAATGGCACTATCTCGGCTCACTGCAACCTCTGCCTCCTGGGTTCAAGCAATTCTCCTGCCTCAGCCTCCCAAGTAGCTGGAATTACAGGTGCACGCCACCATGCCTGGGTAATTTTCATGTTTTTAGTAGAGATGGGGTTTTGCCATGTTGGCCAGGCTGGTCTTGAAATCCTGACCTCAAGTGATCTGCCTGCCTCAGCCTCCCAAAATGCTGGGATTACAGGCGTGAGGCACCGTGCCCGACCTGTGATTTAACTTCTTTAGCTTATCACCACTGTAAGTTATGAACTACCTTATTCTTTAATGGGTATCTTGTTTGAAATAATTCAAAATTAATTTTTATTAAAAATACAAGGTTTAAGAAAAGGAGATGGCCCAATAGAAATTCTAAACAGAAAAACAATTATCCTAGTTTTACTTCTGGCTCTGCCAGTTAACTGATAATGGATAAAAAGAAGGAACTAAAGTAGATTACTGACTTTTAATATTTTTTTCTTTAAACAATGCAATACCTTTTGCAAAGAAATCTTATTTAGAATCCAAGGCATTGGACTTGCTCAGCCACCTTGGGGGCAAAAGGGAAGCAGAGCTCAAAAGGCCTTACCCAGAACTTGGCTTCTTTCCTCCTAAACCTCCTAGAGAGCAATCAACCATTCATATCCCTTAGCTGCTGCCAACTACTAGCAATTCAATCCAAACTCTTGTGGAACTCATGGGCAACTCCCTTCAAAACTAGTAGATTGCATATTACTAAAGTTTTAAATTTAAAATTATGAAATAATAGCCTGGGCAGAGTGGCTCCCACCTGTAATTCCAGCACTTTAGGAAGCTGAGGCGGATGTATCACCTGAGGTTAGGAATTCAAGACCAGCCTTACCAACATGGTGAAACTCTGTCTCTACTAAAAATACAAAAAAAAAATTAGCCGGGCATGGTGGTGCATGCCTGTAATCCCAGCTACTTGGGAGGCTGAGGCAGAAGAATCGCTTGAACCTAGGAAGTGGAGGTTGCAGTGAGCCAAGACTGCGCCATTGTACTCCAGCCTGGGTGACAAGAGCGAAACTCTGTCTCAAAAATAAATAGATAAATAATAAATAAAATTATGAAATAACAATTCCAAGAAGAAACTGTTGTTAAAGCTTAGAAATGTGACCTCAAAATAATCATAAATATTATAAAATAGAAACAAGTTTTAAAAATGAAATTTCTTTATGTAACATATAAATGAGATCTTTAATAATATAGAGAATAATCTCAAGTAAAACAAAACACATTTTCAACAATTACAAAAGTATTCAACACCATTGCTAATTTTAGGGGTTGAATGTCAGTGGCACAAACCTGAGACCCTACAGTTAATAAATTTATGCCAATAGTCATCTGACTTGTACAGAAAGACACTTTTAAACAGGCATATTCTTACACAAAATTGTTTCAAACATCAAAGATGGGCCTAATTCAGATTTACTCCTGTAATTTCTGAAGTGACAAATGAAAATCTATTCAGACAATATAATAAATACACAGTAGTATATATTTGCCAGCTCAGGCTTCTAACCACTTCAAAAACAAAGACTTTTAATATATTAAAGGTAACACTTGGCAGAATAGAAGCGCACATATTAAATATTAAGGAATATTATTTCCTTTCTCGCTCAGCTGCTATGAAACAAAAGAATTCTAATGGTATATTAATTTTATCAATCTTAACTAACTTATAATCCATACCTTTTCAAGATCTTCAATTTTCTTTTCCAGTGTGCTACTTGAAACCAGATTACCTGAAACATTTGCATCCCTGTTGTATCTAGGGAACCCACTTCTATCTGTTCGAGAATATCTACTTGAGACATCTTCTTCAGAGACACTGGTTGTGCTGTGGAAATATAAACATTTTATTAAGATCCCTAGTATTCAGTAAGAAAAACACCAAGAATATTTTCTATTCAGCTTAAAAAAATTAACATTCCCCAAGGACATATGGCTATAGTAGCAACTTATTTCTAACTGTAGAAGTTAATCATTATTCCAACACAATGAAAAAGTGTAAAAGTAGCATTAATTCTTTCAACCATTATCTACTGAGTAGGTGTTAAGTAATGACTGAGTAGGTGTTAAGTAATGAACACTGTTCTGGATGCTGAAGATGTAACAGCGAACACAAATGTGGACTCTGCCCTTGATAGAGCTTTTGGTTAAAAGGGAATATAACTAATAACAAATAAAGCAACATGATCAGTAAAACAAGGTCAGTGATGGATATTATGAGAACTATGATAGGACAGATCTCCCAGATTTTTTTCAGATGGGGTCTCACTCTTGTCACCCAGACTGGAGTGCAGTGGTGCAATCACAGCTCACCACAGCTTTGACTTCCTGGGCTCAAGCGATCCTCCCATCTCAGCTTCCTGAGTAGCTGGGACTACAGGTATGTGGCCGCCACTACACCGGGTAAATTATTTTGTATTTTTTTTCCAGAGATGGGGTTTCACCATGTTGCCCAGACTGGTCTCAAACTCTTGGCCTCAAGCAATCCACCCACCTTGGCCTCCCAAAGTGCTAGGATTACAGGAGTGAGCACTGCGCCTGGCCTAGATCTCCCAGACTATCTGTGTTGAAAAACCACTTTCCTTCTTCAAAATTCCAATCTTTCATGGACCAACACTTTTAAAAAGTAAAATTAAAATGAACTGCTGGAAAAGTAAAAGTTAAAAAGGTCATAAGTCCAAATGTTTCATTAGACTCAGACCCACAAAATTATAAATAGAAAAAAAGAAAAGAATTACATAAAGTGCAAATTCTCCACTGTAAGTATGCATACAGGCAATTAATACAGAAAATTGCTAGCACACTGATAATTTTGTCATGCTATAATTTTAATTTAATCAAAAGTTGTAACTAAAACAGCGATTCCTTAAACACCAATTCATGCCCTCTGAACAGCACATATGTCAGTATTTAAAGTTTTTAATGTAACAAATGAGTTTGCTTCTTGTTTGCCGTATTATTACTCCATTAAAAATTACCCCCAAACTTACACACATTTCTTATCTCAAAGTTCCCATTGGTCAGGAATTTAGAAGCAGCTTAGGTGGGTGATTATGATTCAGGGCTTCTCATGAGCTTTTAATCAAGATGTTGGTTGGGGACTTCAGTCATCTGAAGGCTTAACTGGGCTGGAGAATCTGCTTCTAAGCTCACTCACATGACTGATGACAACGGCCTCAGTTCCTCACTATGTTGGCCTCTCCACTGGCCTGTTCACCACATGGCAGCTGGCTTCCAGAGACAAAGTGACAGAACAACTGAGACAGAAGCTGCAGTGTCTGTCATAACGCAACCTCAAAAGGGACATACTATCACACTGACCTTATTCTATTGTTCACACATATCAACCTGGTATATTGTGTGAGATGATTATACACGGTGCAAACATTAGGAGGTACGGTTCACTGGAGGCTATCTTGAAAGCCAGTTACCACATTTGTTAATTAATCTATGTTGGACTGATGGCAATGCTACTCAACAAGGAATAATGTATATCTAAACTACTTCTGTGTTTTAATAGCACTCAGAGAAAACAGTCTCAAATGACAGAAATAGGAGTGATTTTAATGCAATTTCAACAAGCTTGGACATTCATTTTTATAAACTTTTTGTCTCAAATGCAGAAAATTTGCTTTTCAAAATTTGTTTTCAATCCTTTACTGACTTGTATCCATTTCCAATAATTTATCCAGCAAATTTACAGTTAAATCTAAAGTGACTTCTGGTTTTAAAAAATTGATTCCTCATCTATGAATTTCTTACCCATGGATTTTCTTGTGATAGAAAATAAAAGTGTCGTATCAAATGTCTAAGGTATTTGATTGTAACTTTTTCAAATGTGCAGTATCAAGATCACCATCTGCTTTACTGATAGTTGTTACTATATTGTTTTACCATTTATAACAAGCTAAGGTAACTTTCTCCTCAAATATCCAACTTTCCTTTTTGTCATCTGATCTTATCTGCCATTGAAAAGCCTTCTGGGCTCACTGCAACCTCCACTTCCTGGGTTCACGCCATTCTCCCGCCTCAGCCTCCCGAGTAGCTGGGACTACCAGCACCTGCCACCATGCCCGGCTAATTTTTTGTATCTTTTAGTAGAGACACGGTTTCACCCTGTTAGCCAGGATGGTCTCGATCTCCTGACCTTGTGATCTGCCTGCCTCAGCCTCCCAAAGTGCTGAGATTACAGGCATGAGCCACTGCGTCCGGCCTAATTTTTCTATTTTTAGTAGAGACAGGGTTTCACCACGTTAGCCAGGCTGGCCTTGAGCTCCTGACCTCGTGATCCACCTGCCCCGGCCTCCCAAAGTGCAGGGATTACAGCATGAGCCACTGAGCCCGGCTGACTGAAATTCCTTCTTTGCATGGAAAGCTAAGATCACTTAAAAAATAAACAAAGAATGAGGCTATCAGACAATAAGTCTAACTCACATATTTGAAAAGCTGGGGACCAAACTGGTTTATCTTGCAAAAACACCAAGAGTTCATCCCAAAGTTCGAATACTCTTGACTGAAAAGGTTGCTTTGAAGACAATGTACACCCTAGCATCTGATAACAGTTGATCAGCTAACTCCCAAACTACAGTATCTAATTTTTTAGAAACCTCAAATTTAATGAATTAGTGTTTAATAATTCACACTTTTAGTGAACTATACTGTGAATTCAGCTGATATAGCAAGAACACCATTTAGTTCAGCTGACAAAGCAAGACTTTCTCAATGAAAGAAGCAGGACACCAATTTACATTCTGGTACAAGCTTCAGCATGTTTTTCTTATCACTGTGCCTGCATAATTAGAAGATACTCCTACAAAAGTAAAGCAAAACTCCAAACCACATTTGCTGATACTGTAACCCTTTGCAAGTGTTATATAGTTTAGAGCAAGCTATATTTGTCAGCAATGAAGGTGAACTTCCTATGTTAGCAAAACCAATGTGTTCATCAAATTGTAACAAAAATTCCTTTGCTATCCTTATTTGTCTGAGAGTTAGTTTTCCATATCACCATCCTGTCCCTAAATACATCAAGCTATGGTGTTGCTGGAAAGTGGTACGGTACAGGAACTATCTTCTTTACTACAGATTCATCCAGCATTTCCAAGCAAACATATTTTATCTTGTCATTTGTATGCATTTTTTTTTAATGTTAGCAACCTCAAGTGAGACTATCAGAAACCCCAAAAATACTAATGATTACATGTGAAATCCTGAACATCTGCTCCAGTCATCTTTGTAATACTCTTTCAAATAATGAACTTGGTTTTGAACATATTTGATGAATTGGTTTTGAACATGTCATGCCTACAACTGTCATGCCTACAACTACCAATTAAATTTTGATCATTTTATATTGCTTAAATAGCCAGTGTACCTCTAAACAACCCACTTTGGTTTTAGCACTTTGCCCATCAATTATGGCTAAAAACTAAACATAAGACACATAGTACTTTCCAAGAAAACTAGTACAAATTCTTTTGATTTGTATCTCTTTGAAATTACTTCCATCATCATCATCATTTGGTTTACTACTGCTATCGCATTCAAAAAAGTGTATCTTTATCAATAAAGTCCAGTAAAGCTTGTGTTGTCATCAGTAAATCAGACTTATAAATAATATAAATTTTGCTTCCAGGATTTAACTACTACTTGTAAAAGATAAAATTCAAAAGAATGAAAAAGAGTTTTACATTTTTTAATTACTATATATTTTTTAATTATTTACGGGACAAGAATAATTAAAATTAATGAGATTTTAAAAATAAATGCTTTGTTTTTTGGCAGGGGGTGCGGGGGGATACAGGGTCTTGCACCGTCACCCAGGCTGATGTACAGAGGTGTCATCATGGCTCACTGCAGCCTTGAAACTTCAAAACTCCTGGGCTCAAGTGATCCTTCCACCTTAGCCTCCCAAGTAGCTGGGACTACAGGCATATGCCACCATACCTGGCTAATTTTTTTTTTTTTGTAGAGACGTGTCTTACTGTGTTGACCAGGCTGGTCTCAAACTTGTGGCTTCAAGCTATCCTCCTGCCTTGGTTTTGGGATTATAGGCATGAGCCAGCCACATTTTATTTAATTCTTATACATTTTAGGGTTACAAATGACTAACTTCAAAATGTCACACATTGTAACAGTCCTGCTGTGCATGATTAGCATGCAACTCACCACTGCACTTGAACAACTCTATATCCTGTTCACAGAGTAATCCACTGATCATGCACTTGAATGTGATGATGACAAGTCAAAATGCAATTCAAGTTGTGAAATGCTTATTCTCAAGTTCTTTTCTTGTCTTAGATTGATAACAAACAGTTCAAGGACTACACTTTGGGTACCACTATGTTAAGAGAAGGTTGAAACTTAAAAAGGAGGAGAAAAATGTGCAAAAACCTAGAAACTGTAGCCCATTTGAGAAACAGAGAACTCCAATATGGCTAAAGCATGGAGTGTAAACTTAAGAGTAGTAATAAATATGAGGGTGAAAAAGCAAGCAGGAAACCTGAATTTTTTTTTTTTTTTTTTTTTGAGAGACAGGTTCTCACTCTGTGGCCCAGACTGAAGTGCAGTGGACAATCATAGCTCACTGTAAACTCAAATTCCTGGGCTCAAGCAATCTTCCCACCTCAGCCTCTGGAGTAGCTGCATGTGCGACCATGCCCGCTAATTTATCTTAATTTTTTTTTTAGAAGTTAGGTCTTGCTATGTTGCCCAGACTGGTCCTGAAGTCCTGGCCTCAAGCAATCTTCCTGCCTTGGCCACCCAAAGTGCTTGGAGTAGAAGTCTGAGCTACCACGCCTGGCCCTGAAAGTTATTTTATGGAAGAAT